TTTTGAGGTTCAGATTTTATCGCCAATCCGGTCGAATTAATTATTTAAACCTGTCAAACCCCCCTACGCATCCAGGTAGACTCTAGAGATTTTTCTGTTTTAAACAGCTTAACAGGATTGTAGGCAACGCAGATAAGTAAAACTTTCCCCATATTTTTGCACATTGTTAAGTATCTCGGTGAAACTTTTTTTGCGGTTGGTACACACACGGTTAGTTGCGGCTCTAGACATGTAAGGAAAATCGCGTGTTTCTTTTTTGCCTAACTAGAAGGTGGTAGCTGTCCGTTTCCGGCAGTTGAATCGTCAAAGGTAATTTTTTCACTGTCTATGGGACAGTCCCACGGTTGTACTCAGCTCCTTCCTAACTATAAAGAGGCTGTATGTGTATGGCTGTTCTAGGCCTATAGGAATGCCATTGGTGTTCATCTGAGTTGCCTGTCATAATTTTTTTATTATTTTAAATCCGCACCCTTAGTTAACGTTAATGCCAGTGATATTCTTGAATCTATGGGAGGGGAGAAAACGTGATTAAGCCTGACACAGATGGTACCCAACGTTCAAGGAGGATGCTATCGGCTAATTTACCGCAGAGAAGAGAGCCGTCAATTTTTTCTGTAGACCGATTTCTACCTGGAAAAGGTGTTTTCTGACGGGCCTTGGCACTTATAGGGATCAACCGCATGTCCCTGAGTTCGGTCATGAAAAAGCTTGCGAAGATTTTGTTTCAGGCATCTCGTCTTTCAGAGTTAACTAACATCGTCAATAGGGCTCTGTGCTCTTTACGTAACATGGATGTTACCAATCTCTTCTTACTCTTCAAAGCGCCATTCTAATTCCCTAGGTTAATGTACTCTTGGATAATCGCTAATCACAATTGATCAAATATACCCGTAAAGGTGCTCGTGTTGGCAGATTTTGGATAGCTGTTTCCGTAAAAATCGGGACTCATAAGGGAATTCAACCGATCGCGCTTACGAAATATTTCCGTAATTATCGAAAAGGAATGCTATATGTTGTGCCATGGGAGTTAATTTTGTTGCCTCTAGGGCTGATCATGAGCCTAACGGTCTCATTACCCACAATTCATTCTTCATAAGGATTGAAAGGACGAAATATCCCCAGGAAAGTCAATTTTACTGTGTTTTTCATTGGTTGCATTCGTTTGATTCGCAGAGGGACGGCCAGTAGATTTTCTTGAACTTTAACCATGCAAAGAATTTATGTGCTTTTTTTAAACCAGAAATGCTTTTCTCTCAACTTTAGCGTCTGCTGTTTTATGACTGGCGGCGATTTTGTTAAGCCATCTCTCGTTTCTTCACTTTAAAGACAGCTGGCAGCCTGCTTTAGAAAGTTACAAATTGATACCTCGAGGAAAAGTTCTGTAGGCGGGTCTACTTTTTCCTTTCTTTTTTCCAGCAACGAACACTTCAGGACGAACAATTGGTACTGAGTGTTTTTGACGGGCATACAAATGTAACAAGCGTATTATGCTTACCACCTTCATCAAAATATGCCCATGTGGTATTGAGGACGGCTGGGCATATTTGAAGGGCTGTTGTTTAGCTGCCAATAAGTTGGAAACAAGAACTATTCTAGAGTGGATTTTTGACTAACAGGCTGTGCTCGTCTCACTTATCCAGCACAGTTCAACTAGAGACGTCCAAAAACAGCCAGTTTATTCTCCCAACTAGGTCAGGCTCTGCGGTATGCAGTTAAATTCGATCTTTTTATAGAATTTTCCTCTTTTGCCCTGTCAACGAACACAGTGTTCTTTAGAAAGAGGAGGATTTCGATATTGTGAAAGTCTGCTTCAGTATAAACTAATTCCCATGTAAGTCACCACTGCGCCTACCTGATGAGGTAGTGGTGTAGGTTGTCATTTGTGACGGTCAAACTATCGAATATACTTCATGTAGTGGCTTGAAGCATGCGATCGATCAACTGAACTCCACTATGCTGGCAGTATCTTTTTGCGTGCATAAAACTACGATGAACAGTAGAATGTAATATTAAGGAAAAACCAGTCCTGTAAATCATTCCTTCCATCAATAAATGCTAGGAGTATAGAAGTATTTTTAACTACGTCCTTGTGAGGAAAAGGCAGTTCTTGTGATCGCCAGTCCTCATTTTTGTTGCTTCAGATATATTGTGGCGAATTTACTTTATCTCCGTAAATGCTTTTTGCAGGCAATATGTAAAGTCTTAGTTTGTGTGTGTAAACACCCTTGATGTACTCATTGCCACAAACATCCCATTCTACTAGTCACTGAGTCCACTAGTCCTCAGTAGTCGTAAGTGTTTGACCGCATGTGAAGAAGTCAGGTCGGAATGTACGTTGACTAGGAACCATCGTTCAGGGAAGGATAGCAACCTAGTTAAGAACGAGGCATGACGAATGAGGTATGCGATAATATTGAACACATATTTCTTTCGTATTAATTACTAGTCGCCACGGAGTGACGCGAATCGCAGCTTCCAATTAGCATCCACACTAGAGGACTATGCAACTGTACCAGCACTTTTGAAATGTTAATTGTTCGATGCACAGCTTCTCAAGTCTGACGACGACCTGGGCATCCAGTGTCGAAAATTTACTGAATAAAGTTTCCTCATTCATTCCAAAGAACACCGTTCTATGAAACTGAACGCATATCCTTGGTCATCCAAGAAAAATGGCGGGAGACTGGGGTGTCCTTCGTTGTGCATCTCATGATTTCAGTATCGTTACCATAAATCCAACACAGCTGCCTAACTGGCGTTGATTAGTTATAAATTGACGCACAACTGACGTCAATGGATTTTGTAGAGATATCGAATCGAAACCCTGCAGCTGGGCAGTTTACAACAGAAAATCAGCGAAACTCAATCTGGACCCTTAACTAGTACCTATGTCAGGAGTACAGT